AATATGTCAAATTTTCATAGTTCTTAAATTTTAGATTGATTAGTTGAGCACAATAGTGGTTGAATTGGGGATATGTACTTATTTTAGGAGGTTTGAACAAAAAAATAGGGGGAAAAAATATTAGGGATGACTTGCATGCACAATTTTTAAGAAAGGGTAGGACCAAAAAAAAAAAAAGAAGAAAAGGACAAGAAGAAGCAAGATCTAATTGTTGCCAACTTTAAAAGGTTTTTAAAAAATAGGAAGAACAATGTTGAATAATGATGGATAAGGAAATCTCATTAACACATAGAAGAATGTTGATCTCTCTCTCTCTCAATTTAAAATATAGAAAGTTAATCATCGATATGGAAATATCTCTCTCTCTCATTAAGATATGAAAACATAATTTTTGATATGATAACATATCTTTCTCTCTCTTGAATTTTATTTCTCCTATATATATTATGAAAAATTGTTTCATGCCGATTAGAACGCATGACTACATATGCAGTCCAAAAAGTGTAAAGCTTAATATGGATGCAAGTAGGTGTGCCATTTAAAAACAATGGAAACCAATGGTCCAAATGTTCTCTTATTAGAATTATTTTTTCTAGTTTTTTAAATTTAATTATTAGTTTATATTCATTATATCTATGTTAGAGATTACATCTCGTTAAAAAATTAAGTCCAAAAATCCATCTCAAAAACATATTTATTAATATGCCCACATTTCTACATATGAGGGCTTGTCCGCATAAAAACCGGGTCCATATATTATTATATAATGAGATATGTTAATTTTTATTTCTCCTATATATGCTTACTATAATAAGATAGATTAATTTTTATTTCTCCTATATATTATTAAAACTAAATAAATTACTTTTTTTTATTTATCAAATTTTAAATTGTCGGTACTTCTCTTTCTCGTGATTAGTTGGGCACAACAAGGGTTGAATTGGGGATAGGTATCCATTTTAGGAGGTTTGAACCAAAAAAATAAGGGAAATTTTTTTTTGGGGGATGACTTACATGCACAACTTTTAGGAAAAGGTGGGATCAAACTTTATGAGGTTTTAAAAAAATAGGAAGAGACGGAGGATATGAAAATATTTCTCTCTTGTGCCTCCCTAATTAAGATATGGAAACGATGTTGAGATAACAATAGATATGGAAATTGTTGTGTGCAGAAGCTCTAAACCCGATGGGTTAATTTTTTGGCAATTCAATTACAAGAATTATACAATGAAATGCCTGCTACAAGAATACAAAGATTTATGTGGTTCACCCTAGAAGGGCTACATCCACGAGCAACGACAAAATGAAATCCATTATACTAATGAAAGGTACATCAAAGATTTTGGACCATAGTTACCTCTCTAACCCTCAACTAGACAAAACTTAGTAGAGCAAAACCTGCTATCCTAAATGACACCATAGCTGATCTCTCATCTCTATTCCATAACTAAACCATTGTCTAGGAAGATACCCTAACTAGACCACTGTCTAGAAAGATAACTTTTAAAGCAACTGAATTTTATCTAACAAAAAGAGAAAACCACTCAAAATCTCCATGGGAACTGCTTCTCTACAATAAACCAACCTTTCAATCTTTAGGAGTCAATAAGAAATCTCTGTGGGAACTGCTTCCTTATAAGAAACCAATATCTCAATCTTCAGGAGTCCACAAGTTAATTAAAAGGAAAAACCACCCAAAATCTCCATGGGAACTGCTTCTCTACAATAAACCAGCATCTCTCAATCTACATGAGGAACAATCATAGTGTTTCTCTCCATAAGAAGCTCTCTTCTTTCATAGTGCATCTCATGCACTGGAAGGCGCTACTGGTTAAGTGCCTAGATCTCACCCTCAGGTCGGAATGACCTGGTGGCATGGTTACGGGTTCGAGATAGACCCAGGACCTGAGACCGCTCTCTTGTGAATCGTGTGAGAAAGACACAGGCACGAATACCAACCGGTGAGAGAGGAATTAAGGTGTGAGGTGGGATTGCCCCCTAGGTTTGTGGCCAGTTCAAAATCATCTCCTTTTACGTATTTCTTCTTTTCCTATAGTCACACGCATATTAGAATACAAGACAAGTGGTTCTAAAGAACCCACCTTATCATAGGGGTGAGCGCACACATGCATGCGTACTCAAAAGAAAATGGAAAAATATCATGATGGAGTCCATGCTGATTTGACAGCCTTACAGTGTCTCCTTGACAAGGGACTCTTAGTACAAATTTTAAAGTAAAGGGGGAGAGAAAAAGGGTTAGATAGAGAAAAGACATTAGAAGGAAGAGAAAGAAAGAGAAGGAGATAGAGAGAGAAAAAAAGGAAGGAAAGACACAAATGGCGGCTTGCTGCCATCATTGAAGAGAGAAGAGAGAGAGACCATAGACGATGGCTTATTACCGTCTATGAAGAGAGAGAGAGAAAGGTGATGAGCACATACAGTGGCTTACTACTGTCTGTGAAGAGAGAGAGGATTGTAGAACACAAAGAGCGGCATGCTGTCATCTCTGAAGAATAAGGAGAGAGAGGAGACATAGACAACAGCTTGCTGCCGTCTGTGACGAAAGAAAGGAGAGAGAGAAAATACAAACAGTAGCTTGCAACCGTTTGTGAAGAGAGAGAGAGAAGGAACACAGATGGCGGCTTACTACTGTCTCTAAAGAAAGAAATGAGGGAGAGAGAAAACACAAACAGCGGCTTGCTGTCGTCTTTGAAGAGAGAGGGAGAAGGAACACGGACAACGGCTTGCTATCGCCTATGAAGAGAGAGAAGGTGAGTGAGCACAAATAGTGGCTTACTGCCGTCTGTGAAAAGAGAGAAAGGTAGAACACAGACGGCGGCTTGCTGCCGTCTGTGAAGAGAGAGGACACACAGACGGCGCCTTATACTACTGTT